ACATCCTAGAAGAAAATCTATCACTTTTCTGGAGGCAGGGGGCGGTGGGAGGGCCCAAGAGAGACAGGATCTCAGAGACCCACCCCCACCCCGTGATGCAGGACAAAGACCGAGAGACCCCCACAGGCCCCCCCATGACCCAATGTGCTGCAGGGGGTGGCAGAATGTGTTGCTGCCCATTGTGGGTTGGGGGATGGTGGACACTGTGACCAATAGACTGGAAGAGGCCTTGAGGGGGGTGCCTGTGGACTAAGGAATGGAAAGCAAATGGAACCCAGGACATCCCCACAGGCCCTCTTGGGAGGAGCTTGTGCAGTGGATAGCTGCCTCACCCCTGCTGCCATTGCTCCAGGCCCACAGTCCCTTATCTCAAACCATGAGTGATTCAGAGCTAGGAATTCCTTTGGACTTTAGACAAAGGTGATCCAGGCACCTGCATGCAGCACATTAGTATGGTCCAAGACAGCCCCATGCCATGAGAGACATTAATATTTCCTCAATAAAATGTATGGGATACATAAAGATTATAGAGTCTCTATCTGTCAAATTGGAATGTCTTTCCGGTCAGATTTGCTGACAACTTATTTTTGGTGCCAAATTAAAAAAAATAATCTTCCCTAGATCAGTCCTGGGAGTCGGCCTGACTCCTTCCTTTCCCTCCTCACTCCCCCCAGATCCACATGATCAGAGAGTTCCATCTGCCTGAATCTCCTTAGCACCTCCCATGTCTGTCTCCTTCTTCCATCCCTCCTGCTACAACACGGGCTCAGGCCACCTTCCCCTCTCACCGGGATGATCACAACCTCCTCCTGGCGGACCTGCAGCCTCCAGCGCCTCCTCCGTGCCTCCCCAGAGGAGTTACTTTAGAATCCAAACTCTTGGCTTTGCCTGAGTGTCCCATCAGGATAGAGGTGTGATTAATTGAAAAATGCCAGCAGAATTAAAGAATGGCCCTGTACTTCCCTGCTTGGATAAGCAGGGGACAATGTGTAAGCTCCCAGGTGGCGGTACAGGTGCCTCAGGCCTTCTAAGGTTCCCTACGGAGATGTAGGCTGCTGCGGGCCCAGAGAAGGAAGATTCCTCACGTGCGTGCAAGAGCTCCCACCTCCCATTCCCAGGAGGCTGGTTCCCTCCTGGCTTCTGACTGCTCAGGCAGGAGCTGGTTATGTGGCTGCCTGCACATCAGGTACGAGTGATGAGTGCAAAGCACACATCCCAGTGTCAATTTCTCAGGCATAGGAGGACCAGGCTTCCTGCAACCCTGAAACCCAATGCTGACCTCCACAGAGCCTGGCTGTCCATGTCATGGCTCTGTTTTATAGGCTCCATTGGCCTTGGCTGTCAAGAACCAAAGCAGGTCAGGAGGTCCATTCTGTCTATTTGTGTCCAACAAAATCCCTGGCCTGCGAAACAGCCCTGAGCTCAGCTCCTGACTGTGTGAGAGTGAAGGAGAGAAAAATGGCAGTTCCAGGGGTCTTACTCTTCCAGCCTCAGTGAAGGAAGGTGCCACCGGACTTTTTTTCACTCCTGCCTCTTGGCAATCCACATGAGTCACCATTTAATTTTTAAAAAGTTACCGTTTAAGAGAGAGCTTTCAAGATGGCGGTAGAGTAGGTAGATCTTGCACTCAACCTCCTCCCAGGACCAAACTGGAGATACAACTAAATTGGGGAACAATCGCTCTGAATAACCCCCTGAGGACTAGTGAAGAGCGTTATAACCGAGGATTGCAGAAGAAGCCATGTCGAGACTACACCTTGAATGCTGTGGTCAGGGTTTGAGCCTCCCTTGACCAAAGACCCCTAGTTGATTCAAATGAGTATATTGTTTGAGCAAAACATTTATTTTGATGTTTTAAGCTACTGGGATTTTCCAAGTTGTTTCTTATTGTAACAAAACCTAGCCCATCCTAACTGAGCTGGCCTTCAGTGGGGTCAGAATAAAGAGGCTGGGCATTCCTAGTCGGGTTGGTTCCGTGGATAGAGCATCGGCCTGTGAACTGAAGGATTCAATTCCGGTCAAGGGCATGTACCTCAGTTGCAATCTCTGCAAGTTCAATCCCCAGCTCTGGTCTGGGCACACGCAGGAGGCAGGCAACCAACCAATGTGTCTCTCTCACATTGATGTTTCTCCCTCTCTCTGTCTCTCCACCTCCCTCCCACTACGTCTAAGAATCAGTGGAAAACTGTTCTCAGGTGAGGAACAACCAAAAAAAAAAAAAAAAAAAAAAAGAGGCTGGACAGGAGGCTCTTGCCAAGTGAGCCAGGACCTACTTACCATGGACTTTGAGTTCCAGGTACCTACACAGACCCACCCCTTCCCATCTACAGAGCACACCCCTTCTGTGCCCCTCTGGGGCTTCACCCCACCAGACCCAATCTCTATAACATGCTTCCTGTCTCTCTGACACCCAAGCCACAACACTGAGATGTGGTTTTCTAAAGAACCGGCTAAGCCCATGCCACCTGAACAAGCAGAGCCTTCAGCTGCTCTTTTGAGGTCGCTGTGGCCAAATGCTGATTTTGGTGAAAGCCACCAGCCTTCTGAGAGAAGGCTTATGATGTCAACAGCAACAAATACACATTTTGTTGGGAAATGCTGCACACTGGATACTGTGAGAACACCCTGGTGGGATGAACCTAGAAATTCTATTGGAAAACGGTGATGCAGAGCAAAGGGCACTGGGTTTGAAGAGCCCCTAGAACAACATTTATTGAGCACCTACTATGCCTCGCAGTCAGAACTCTGTGTCAGGGACCTCAGATGATGGCAGGGGCAGACAACTGAGTGAGCAGAGGGTGATAATACAGGTTGATAAATGGCTGGTTAATTTAGTCATTCATTCATCTGATGTATATTTTTTGAGCTCTCCTGATAAGCTAGGGACTAGACATTTAGTGTCAAGACTTGTCCTCCTGAAGTTTATAGTCTGGCAGACATGAGTAAAATAGACAAAGTGCTAAGGGAGCATTTAGCAGGACACATAACTTAATCTGGGGTGGAGGGATATGGGGTTTGGGATAACTTTATAAAGGACATGACTCCAGAACTGAGTCCTGGAGGGTGAGCAGAAAGGAGACAGTAAAGAAGAAAGGGAATCGTTTAAGTGAAGGCCTGGAAGCATGAACGAGCCTAGTGCATTTGGTAAGTGCTGGGAGTGTGGTAAGACTAAAGCATGGAGTTTAAATTAAGAGATCAGAGCGAAGGAAATAATCCAAATGAGAGTTACTGAGGCCTGAGCCAAGCCAGAGACATTTGGGGTGGGGGAAGTGGACAAAGACTTAAGAGATAGTTGGAAATTGAGTGGACAGGACATGATGATCAATGGGCTGCACTTCTAATTTACTGTAGTTATCACCGTACGGTGCTTAGCACAGTGCTGGGCATACAGTAAGTGCTTGTGAGTGAATGAATGTATGATATGAGGTGCTTGGATATGAGGAGTGAATGAATGAAGTGAAAGAGGAGGAGCCAAGGATAATAATAATAATAGCTCCTGAAACTAGTTTGATTGAGAAACATTAACATGTAAAGATAAGTATCAGTCTTTAAAAACACAACGTCTACCAACTGTAATCTGCCATTCTTCCTTTCCTGATGGGCATCTGGCCCCCTTGATGACATCTCTACCTGTTTCCAAAACTCAGTCATTTTTGGCTATGAATGAAGCCTCCTGTTTTGGGCATTCACTTGGTCTCTGCATTTTCAAAGGTCAATTGCTGTTGGATTCAAAGTCCCAGCAAACTGGACTTGTGGCCTGCGAGGAGATGGGCGTGGCTTGCTCCCCTGCCCTCTGGTGGGAGGAATGAAAAGGAAGAAAAGGACTTGATTCCTTAGGTAGCCCCTGCTGGCCCTTGGCTGGCTCCTTCTTTACTGCTTGTAATGTGGCTGTGTTCCTGTCCTCTCAGTCATCACAGCTGTTTAGCTCATTATAGACATGGTATGTGTGTGTGAGGGGCGTGGGGACCCCACAGGCCATGCTGGTGCTGAACAGCCCTCCTCAGCTGGTGGTCACAGGCTCACCCTTCACGGCTCATCTCTGTGTGCCTAGCAGGCTTGCTGCCCTCATCACTTTTACCCTCTGCAGCCCCAGTCCCAGGGCCTGTGGACATGGGCTGACTCTGTCTGTCTTCCTCTTCTTGCTCACTCGCCACCTGGCCACAACCTTCCTTGGCCTGCTCTCTGCAGTGCCCTTTCCCTTATCTCAGTAGCCCCAGGGCAGTGGGCAGGTGCAGTGGCTCAGGTGACACCCACCAGGAATGAGAGGTCAGGCTCCCTCTGGTGGCAAGCTGGATGAATTATTCCCTTGCCTCTGTTCCAGTTACCTACTGTTGTGAAAAAGATCACCCCAAATTTCACAGCCTAAAGCAGTCATCGTTTTATCCTGCTCATGGATGCTGTGGGTCAGGAATCGGACAGGGCACGGTGGGTGGCGGTGGTGGTGGTGGTGGCTGGGCTCTGCTGTGGTAGGCAGCCTCCAAGATAGTTTTCGATGACACAAGCCTCCCAGTATTCATGCCCGTGTGTAGTCCCCTCCTGCTTTGTCTCAGGGCTGGATTGGGTGGCCAATAGAATGGGGCAGAAGCAATAGTATGTCCCTCCACTTTTGAGTCTAGGTCATGATTCTCTGTCCTTTAGATCACCCACTCTGGGGGAAGCCAGCTGCCATGTCTTGAGGACACTCATGTATGGAGAGGCCCATCTGGAAAGGAACCCAGGCCTACTTCCATCGGCCATGTGAATGAGCTTGGAAGTGGGTCCTCCAGCCCCAGAGCAAGTCTTAGATGACTGCGGCCTGCCCGACAGCTGGACTGCAATTTCACGAAAGACTGACCCTGTGTCAGAACCACCCAGATATGCTGCTCTCAGATTCCTGACTCTCAGAAACGGTAGGAGGTGATAAATGTTTGTTGTTTTCAGCGGCGATATCTTGGAGTAATTTGTTATGCAGGATAGATAACTAATGCATTCCATGACGTCTGGGCCCTTAGCTGGAAAGACGCGAATGGCTGGGGCTAAAATCGCCTGGGAGGCTGCTTCATTCACGTGGCTGGTACCTGAGCCAGAAGGACTTGAAGGCCCAGCGGGCATGATCACCTGGAGCATCTACACGTGGCCGGTCCGTGTGACTTGGCTTCTCACAGCACAGCAGCCTGGCTCTGAGAGGGCGTGTCTCAGGAGAAAGTGAGCTTTCCAGGAGACCAAGGAAGAAGTTGCAAGGTTCCTCTTGGCCTCACCCCAGAAGTCACGGGGAGTCACGGGGAGTAACTTCTGCTGCATTCTGTTGTTACAGGTGAGTCACCAAGGCCAGCCCAGATTCAAGGGGAAGGGATTTGACTGGTCCTCTTGATGGAGGGGTGATAGGGTCACATTGCAGAGGAACAAGTGGGAGGGTGGCCATCCTTGCAAAATACAATTGGATGTACCTGCCCTGGCCCTGGGAGAGGAACAATCCATTGCCCCCTGCACTGCCCCTCAGGGAGAGAGGGTCGGTGGCTTCTTTCCTTACCTCCAGCCCTGTGAGTAGTGCTGGTTCTGCTGCAATGGCAGGTCCTAATCAAGCCCTGAGGGAGCCAGGCGTCCACTGAGCTTAGACGGTGGAACACGTCATGCTTTTTGCTCTGGGCTCCAGATTCTGGTGCTAATTCTACCTTTCTGGGTTAATAATTTTTAGCAAAGGTCCAACTGACACCTTGTCCCACCGAGGCACATCGCCCTTTCTCTGCCAGCCACTGTGCTGAGCACTTGACCTCAGTCAGTCCTGCACTGACCCTAGCAGCTAAGAATTACGCTCCCATTTACAGAGGAGGAAGTCACTGACCGTCACTGACCGAGGTCACTCAGCCAGAGGTGGCAGAACAGGGACTCTGCCCCTGAGCCCTAAGTCTACGCTCTAGGGGCCCTGGGATTCCAGAAAGACTACTGGGTGTTGGAGCTCTAGCCCTGGTCTCCTCTGGGCTTGCCAAGGGTGAGGCCAGTGTAAGTGTGAGGAGGAGCTGGAGGGAGGTACTCACAGGGGGTGGGGCTTCAAACCCCTGCCTGAGGGGAGGGGTTAGTTGTTGGGTGTTTGGGTGAAAGGGGAGGAAGAAGGAGAGGGAGAATCTGTTTTTTACTTTCTTTTCAGACCTGTCCCCAGTCAATGAGCTTTTCAGTGGCCAGAGGGTGACCTCCAGAGTAACATTCCTGCACTCATTGCTTCTCAGTGTTTGTCAGAATGAAACCCCTTCTTTGTCCAGGAACCTCTGATTGGAGGCCCTCGGAGCTCCCGGGGTCTGTGGACGGGCGCTGGGTCTTGGAGTGATTTCCGGCCCCAGTGAACAGGTCCTGCCGATGTCCGATGTCTGGCCTGTCTGCCCCCTGTGTTCCTGCCCACCGCTACCTTCCAGATGGGCCAGCTCCCAGCACCTACTGCCTGCCAGGCACTGCGCTCACGTTGGGGACCCAGAAATAAATGAGAGACAGCCGCTGTCCAGTGGAAGGAGAAACGTGAAGAGTTAACCGCCACCCAGGAGAGGGTTCCTGAGTCAAGGGCACATCAAATGAGGGTCAGAATCACACAGAGAGGGGAGGGCCTAACTCAGCAACAAAAAGGAATGAACCATTGATACAGGCAACATCATGGATGAATCTCAAAATCATCACGCAGAGCAAAGAAGTCAGACACAAAAGAGTACAGACTGTGTGATTCCATTCTTACGACGTTCTAGACCCGGCAAAACTGTGGGTTATATCCAGATAGAAATAAGACCAGTGGTTGCCTGGGATGAGAGGGGCTGGACTGGGGACATGAGGTGCTGGATGTTCTGAGGGACGTTCTGAGGATGAGGAATATTCTGAGGTGGGAAAGATGTTCTAAACCTGAGTAGGAGTGTGGGTTACACAGAATATTCGATAGCTAAAACTGACCACACTGTACACCCAGGATCTGTGAATGTCATCATATGCAAATTATATCTGTGATGGGCAGCACTCCAAATAGTCCTCAGCAAGCCCTGGTGTGCTCCCCCTTGTGCAATCACACACACACACACACACACACACACACACACACACACACACACACACATCGTATCAGGTAGGTCTGTGTGGCCGATAGGGTGTGCAGAAGGGATAGTATGTCACTGCTGAGAACAGGATACTGGTCTCTTTCTCTCAGATAGCTTGTTCTGGAAGAGGCCATGTGTTGAGCATCGCTATGGAGAAATACGCTCGGCAAGGAACCGAAGCCTCCTGCCAACAGCTATGTGCGTGAACTCACAGTAAGTGTATCCGTCAGTCCCCGTGAATGCCTTCCGAGGTCTGCAGCCTTGGCTGATTGCTGGACCACAAACTCATTCGAGACCTTGAGCCAGGCCACCCAGCTAAGCCGTTTCCTGATTCCTGATCCTCAGACTCTGAGTGAGAGAATACGTTTGTTGTTTTAAGCCATTAACTTTTGGGGAATTATTTGTTTTGCAGCTCTAAGTGATGAATAGAATGTTTCAATAAACTAAACAGGTGGGAGAAGCATCTTCTAAGTGCTCCTGGCCCAGATGGCTTTCTCAGGGACCTTCAAGTGCTTTCTGTGACTCAGTCTTCTGGGCTCAGTCTTCAAAATGGGGAGATGAGGGGCCTGGAGCTCTGTCTAAAGGTCAGGGGCTGGTGTCTCCTACATATCCACAGCCCCACAACAGTTACACACAGTGGCCAGGCCCACACCCGCTGTGCAGAGAGGGCTCCAGAAATGCCCCCGTCCCCCCATCCTCCCCCCATGTGTACATGCAGGCACCCACTCAGGGCTCAGAAGCTAATAACAGCTACTATTTGGGGAACACTTTCTAATTGTCAGGGGACATGCAAAGTGCTCTGTATGCATATTTTAATTAATTCTCCCCAACACCCTCTGAAGAAGATATTACTAAACCTATTTTACAGGACAGAAAACTGAGACCCAGAACACGGAGGCAACTGCCAGGATCATAGAGCCACCAGGGTGTGGCAGCTTTCGATTCAAATCCAGGTCTAATTCCCAAAGGGAGAGGCAGGCAAGCAGCACACCCAGGCCAGAGAATACTTCTCTCATCTCTTCCCTCTGAGAACAAGCCACACCTTCTGCCATCAGGGAACAGGCCACAGTCTCCACCCAGACTCCCCGGGGTGATGATAGAAAGAGACTGGAGGGTGATGTCCACGCCACCAGGAGTGTCAGAGGTCGTGGGAACTGAGACCCAGAGACTCAGTTCCAAGGACTTTTCCAAGGACTCCCATCTAGTGCTCCTGCCTCTCAAGGACAGCTTTGGGGTAGGAGACAGAGAGAAAAAGGGAAGTCAAAGGTAAGGACGACAAAATTGAGATCTCATCATTTGGGTCAACCCCACAATGGGTAGGATCTACATAAACCAGTGTCACAGGTGGTCCCAGTGGGAGCCTCTGCAGCCTCAGGGGCCTCACAGAAAAGCTCTGAGAGCAGTGCCTGGCCTGTGGCAGGGCCTGATGAAAAGCCCTGCACCATTCATTTGCTGTGACCTTGGGTTGCCCCATTCATTCATTCATTCATTCATTCAATAAGTATTTACTGACCATCTGCTATGTGCTGTTTTAGGAGCTTGGGATATTTCAGCGAACACAAGATCCTTGTCCTTATGAAGCTTAAAATACAGAGGTTTCCTATATCAGTTCTAAAGTATCCTACAAGTGAAAGGTGCTGTAAGAGAGGAAAAAGTAAAGGGGGGTAAGAGGACCAAGAGTGAGGACAATGTGTATGGAGCGGGTGGGATGAAATTGTAAAGGGTTTTAGCTATCTCAGGTAGGCCTCCTTGAGACTGCCTCCTTTGAAGAAAGACTTGAAGGAGGCGAGGGGTGCCATATAAAGAGTGAACCATATGGAAATCTGGAGGGAAGACATTCAGGTAAATTACACATTGATTATATATTAGGAGTGAAGGGGAATTATGTCTGCGACTTACTCTAACAGTTCAGAAAAAATAAATTATATAGATATAGAGCGACAGTATGTACATGTATATAGACATGTAAATATACATGTTCGAGGTATACCGGTTACTAATGCGGATTTTTTTCAATAGATGGAGTTACACATATGTTGATATATATGCGATTTGATACCACTTGTCCCGATGGCACACGCACTTTCTGAGCAGCACTTCCAAATGTATGAAGAAGTGGAAAATTGGGTCTCTGAATGGTTTGCCTCAAAACAAGAAAAGTTCTATTGGGACGGTATCCACAAATTGCCTGAAAGATGGGGGGATGTGTAGCTAGCGATGGACATTACTTTCAATAAAGCACTTTTGATGTTTCTCTTGAAATTACAGTGTTTTCTTTGGATTACAAAATCGGCAGTATTAACCGGTTAAAAGTTAACCCGCATTATTAACCGGTTAACAGTTAATCCACATTATTAACTGGTTAATAATTAATCCGCATTAATAACCGGTTAATTGTTCCGCCGGAAGATGAGATGAGGAGCGGGCTGCGCGGTGGCGGTCTGGACCAGGAACGCG